GATTGAATTATTAGATAAAAATTTAGATAACTTGTTTAACAAATAGCCCAATCATTGAATAGCTGGAGATTAATACAAACATGCATACAACAGGGAAACAGGAATAGCCTAAATTAGTAGTTTTCCTTATATAAGGCTTTATGAAATCGTCAAAACAAACATGAAAGTTTTTCTTTTTAGAAGAGACTTTCATAATAAAAAATTTAGGAGTTCCATAGACAGAGACGGGGCCAATACATCTTCCGTTCCTTTTGACCCCCACCTTTCCCCGTAGAAAGTATCTGAACTTATTATGACGTCTGGGAACCAAGCGAATGCAGCTGTTACCATGGGGATTTTGATTTCAATTTTAATGAAAGTAAATTTCAGATTTGTTAGAACAAACAGAGGAAGATGGAACGCAGCCCATTTTACTTCCAATATATATATATATATATATCGGCTCTTGTTTTATATATATATATATATATATATATATATATATATATATATATATATATATAGACAATATATCTCAGAAGAGGCTTTATAGTGAGAAACTTGTTTTGTCTATATGAAAAAAAATTTTGAAATAAATAATTATTGCCACAAATTCGAACTCCTGTAGAGCGGTCTTTATGAGATTTCTTTTTGAATTAATGCTGTGAAAATTAAATAATTTTTATATATTACTCGGTTAAGTATCCGCTGAAAATAACGTTTCATTCGATATATATATATATATATATATATATATATATATATATATATATATATATATATATATATATATATTCAGTCGATTAATCGATGTTTTAATTTTGAATTTTAATGATATATAATCGACTGAATTCGCTCATTTTCGCGGCGAAGTCGGTTAAAATGTACATTTGGATCAATTGACGAGGCTGTCTTGTCCACAGGGAATTTAATATATATATATATATATATATATATATATATATATATATATATAGAGCATATATATATATATTTATGAAAGATTTCTCCAATATAAAGTCCGGTAGACGAAAAGTAATTTATATATTAATTATATAAAATTAAATACATTTTAAATGATAAACGGAGCATCTACTCGGTATAAGTATCCGCTGAAAATAAAAACCCTTTTAGCTTCTATTTTTGAAACATGGTTGAACTGTGTAGCGAAAATAACCATATTTTAAATATATATATATATATATATATATATATATATATATATATATATATATATATATATTAAGTTGGACAATTATTTCAATATCTTTTTCAGTTTATAGGTTATTTTATAGCTATAAAATCGAACCAGTAACTCTAATTATAAGCATCATTTGATCTGATTTGCTGCTAACCATTTAGTCAGAAAGAAGAGTCTGGTTAGCAAAGTCCCAGTTACTTCTTATAAATAAACACCTTTGACGATTTTTCTCCGTCGATAATATCTGCACACGAAATGTATATTAACGTAAAAAATGACAACATATTATGAAATAGATTGAGTCCGGAATCATATTTATATTTACTCGTCGAAGGTATATGTTTATAAACAGTAATTAGGACTTTATAATTATAGTTACGATTCCTGCCGGAGAAGCACATATTTTTTACGAAATTTCAAGGCGTTTAATTAGATGTAATTATTAGCGTTTAATTAAAAAAAAATCAGAACATTTACTTAAATAATTTATATGTACAAAAATAACCTTAAACTGAAAATGTATTAAAAAATATATATATATATATATATATATATATTATATATATATATATATATATATGTTTTTCATTTTTTTCCAAATATTAAACAGCTCTGCAAGTCTGGTCTTCCAACTTGATATTGAGCACTTTTTAATGCGTACGATCTTAACAAATATTTTACTGTTTGTTTATTCTATATATATATATATATATATATATATATATATATATATATATATATATATAGATAGATAGATAGATAGATAGATAGATAATATTAGTGGTAAATATACACATATATATGCAAAAAATATAAGTATATATATATACATGCATACACATACATATATATTTTTTGAATAAAAAAAAAAATTCCAAGAGGATAGAATCCAGGTAGAACTCAATGTCCAGGACAGAGTAGGATATATAAAAAGTTTTAAACACTAATATTCCATAGTCATAGTCATTCCATATTCCACTGGAATCGTAAATGGGGTCCAATTCATCAGACTTACAAATTCAATTGTAGGTCTGATGAATTGGATTATATTTACGATTCCAATGGAATAAATTATGACTATGGAAATATTGAAGTTTTATTATTATTATTATTATTATTATTATTATTATTATTATTATTTTTATTATTATATATATATATATATATTATATATATATTATATATTATATATATATATATATATATATATATATATATATATTTGGAGTGGGTAGGTTCGCCTATCAAGTTCACACTCCTCACCAGTCTTTTGAACAGGGGTATGTGTTTATCATGGGTTTCCTCTTCAAGAAATGTTCCCGTTTCCTTCTAAAGTTTATGTAAACTGAAATGTTATTCCCTAACTATATTTTTATTTCTTCAAATCTAAATTTAGCCATCATATTCCCTTGATAGCCCCAAGAACTTGCGCTTTCTTACGTTCATGCGATACCACATAGTAAATATCTACCTTGATTGCCTCCTGGGCGTACATTGCAGAGTCATTAATAAAAAAAAAATAAAAAAAACTGATGAAATCGTTTGTATTGTTATCACCCTTTTCATTAGAGTAAAGATTTAAACAAGAAATAAAATGTCTTCTGTGAATGTGTTATAGGCTATGGACAATGACATGATATTATTTTTCATGCAAAATAAAACATTTACTGATCGTGTTTATAGATCATTTCGTTCATCGCTTCGTAACATCTTGTGAGAGTCTTATGTTTAGAAAGCAAGAAACTGTCATATTGTCGACGCAGATGCACGAGAATAGAAAAAAAAAAAAAAGCGAAAAAGCAGAAAACAAAATCTCGGCTTGTTCCCAAGAACCGAGAAAGTCAAGTTGTATCGCGCTTCATAAGTAGAACACTTGAAGACGTGCCAAAAACACTAAAAGAAATTTTGAGTGATTTATTGCTGAGGTTTGCAAGCATATCGGGAATAGGGTCGGGTATTTGAAGAAGATTTGCTGTCGCTCAATTTCTACCATCAACAACTGAAATCGAGTATGAACATGAAAATATATCAAGACCACGAGATCTGTAACCCATTCGGGTCTAAGGGGTGTGGCACTTATACTGCAGCAGTAGTGTTTCCTGGGTAAGATAACCCGACGGATCCCAATGCTCTCCAGGCTGTTTTAGTATTCAGATTTCTCCTTCTTCTAGACTGGTTGCCAAGGCTATAAAACTCAGTCTGTCCTGCTATTTAACCATAGAGGGGGGGGGAGAGAAGTGACTGATTCATACAGTTCCCAAGGTAATTAAACACAAGTGAATATAATGTACTTGACTGGAATTTGAACTCGGCTATCCAATTTCTAAATGTGCGCCGCTATCTATTACTCCACCGAGATTCCCTTGTATATAATAATGATAATAATGTGTCTGTGCAAACAAAGAAAGAAAGCAAAAGATGTATCTCAATAAAGAAGAAGGTGAACAAAAATGTATATTAGGAGGAGTAGTAGTAACAATAATAGTAGTAGTAGTAGTGGATCAGAGAAAGGTATGTAAATAATTTATATCTATAATATAGATATCAGCAGTATACTTGGTTCAGGAAAAGGTAAACATTAGTCGTTTGTATTTGAGTCTATAGGGGTCAGCTTAAAAGTTCATAGGTTGACCAAGATATAAATGTAAGTAAACATATTAATTGCTAGACTAAAAGATATGCAAATGTATTAGTCATTTGTATTTGAGTCTATAAGCATTTAATTGTTCCGTGTTTAGGTAAAAATTAGTCGTTCGTATTTGAGTCTAGAGGGTCAGCTTAAAAGTTCATAGGTTGACCAAGATATGAATTTAAGTAAATACACATCTTGGTAGACTAAAAGATATGCAACAGTTGGTTGGATTGCTGTTTTCTACTGCTATATCCGTATGCCTTTTACTCTACAAATTGGTGTGTCTACGTGAATTTATATCTCGGTCAACCAATGAACTTTTCAGATGATCCTCGTATAAACATTCACTTCATTCGGGTTTACACAAATATTGGTCGATTATATTTGAGTCATTAAATATTTACTTGGTTCGGGGTTAGGTTAATACTGGTCGTTTATATTTGAGTGTAGAAGTATTTACTTGGTAGGTGGTACCTATTGGGGTCTTACCTAACTGCAGGAGATATCGTCAGCATATCCTAGACTCTGCCACAAGAGAACGAACCATAATAAGCTGGACATAAAAAATATGAACACTGCTAAATTCAGATCGTTTCATGTATACGCTATTCAATATAACACTATTTGATTCGAAAACTGAAAAGTTGTCATTTATATAATAAATAATATTCCTTTCATATGTATCGATAGTAAGTCGAATTAGTTCGATAAGGTTAAAATAGCAACTGATGTTCAAAAAAACTGCCAGTCTGTTGTTAACAGGGGCAAAAGATGGCTTGTTAATTTTAGCGCTTCCAAAAGAGTTGGTCACTGGATTTCCTGCATAACACAAAAAAATTTATTTCTTCTTTTTTCTTCCGCTAAAGAAATGCCAAACAGTAACCGTCTATATTGAGTGGCTCTCGGGCGTTGTAATTATTATTGAATGGTGGCGTTACTTTGTAAAGAATCTTATTTAAAGCCAGAAACTATTTTATATCGTATAGTTCTTTTAAGATAATAATGGTTTAGTGATAAAAGCTTGACTAATTTAAACCATTGCCGGGGACTGAAAATGTGGATTCATACCTTTCCCAATAGTATTTGCCCGTAATTGAATATAATGAACCTAACTGGAATTGGAACTCGGCTCCCTGATTAACAATTCCGATCCATTATTTATAACACCACCCGCACATCTAAACTTAAAGCACCTCGTCTTGCCAAGAGGTCACGCATCTAGATACTGATCAGGTTTGGCCTTGATTAACTTCGGTGATCGGACGTGAACCGGTATTCCAATTTGATATGGCCGTAAACCCGTAAGGAAGAGGAATGCGTGATGATAGTACGTGAACCGGTGTTCCAATTTGATATGGCCGTAAACCCGTAAGGAAGAGGAATGCGTGTTGATAGTACGTGAACCGGTGTTCCAATTTGATATGGCGGTAAACCCATAAGGAAGAGGAATGCGTGTTGATAGTAAGTGAACCCGTGTTCCAATTTGATATGGCCGTAAACCCGTAAGGAAGAGGAATGCGTGTTGATAGTACGTAAACCGGTGTTCTAATTTGATATGGCCGTAAAGCCGTAAGGAAGAGGAATGCGTGTTGATAGTACGTAAACCGGTGTTCCAATTTGATATGGCCGTAAACCCGTAAGGAAGAGGAATGCGTGTTGATAGTACGTGAACCGGTGTTCCAATTTGATATGGCCGTAAACCCGTAAGGAAGAGGAATGCGTGTTGATAGTACGTGAACCGGTGTTCCAATTTGATATGGCCGTAAACCTGTAAGGAAATGGAGTGCGTGTTGATAGTACGTGAACCGGTGTTCCAATTTGATATGGCCGTAAACCTGTAAGGAAGAGGAATGCGTGTTGATAGTACGTGAACCGGTGTTCCAATTTGATATGGCCGTAAACCCGTAAGGAAGAGGATGCGTTGATAGTGCGGTGTTGCTGTAAATAGTACGTGAACCGGTGTTCCAATTTGATATGGCCGTAAACCTGTAAGGAAGAGGAATGCGTTGATAGTACGTGAACCGGTGTTTGATATGGCCGTAAACCAAGGAAGAGGAATGCGTGTTGATAGTACGTGAACCGGGCCAATTTAATATGGCCGTAAACCCGTAAGGAAGAGGAATGCGTGTTGATAGTACGTGAACCGGTGTTCCAATTTGATATGGCCGTAAACCCGTAAGGAAAAGAATGCGTGTTGATAGTACGTGAACCGGTGTGATTCCGTAAATAAGGAAGAGGAATGATATGGAACCGGTGTTCCAAATGGCCGTAAACCTGTAAGGAAGAGGAATGAAGAGGAATGGTTTGATAGTACGTGAACCGGTGTTCCAATTTGATATGGCCGTAAACCCGTAAGGAAGAGGAATACGTGTTGATAGTACGTGAACCGGTGTTCCAATTTGATATGGCCGTAAACCCGTAAGAAAGAGGAATGCGTGATGATAGTACGTGAACCGGTGTTCCAATTTGATATGGCCGTAAACCTGTAAGGAGGAGGAATGTGTGTTGATAGTACGTGAACCGGTGTTCCAATTTGATATGGCGGTAAACCTGTAAGGAAGAGGAATGCGTGTTGATAGTACGTGAACCGGTGTTCCAATTTGATATGGCCGTAAACCTGTAAGGGAAACGTGTTGATAGTACGTGAACGGTGTTCCAATTTGAAGAGGTAAACCCGGAAGTTGTGTTGATAGTACGTGAACCGGTGTTCCAATTTGATATGGCCGTAAACATGTAAGGAAGAGGAATGCGTGTTGATAGTACGTGAACCGGTGTTCCAATATGATATGGCCGTAAACCTGTAAGGAGGAGGAATGCGTGTTGATAGTACGTAAACCGGTGTTCCAATTTGATATGGCCATAAACCCGTAAGGAAGAGGAATGAGTGTTGATAGTACGTGAAAAGGTGTTCCAATTTGATATGGCCGTAAACCCGTAAGGAAGAGAAGGAATAGTACGTGAACCGGTGTTCCAATTTGATATGGCCGTAAACCTGTGGAAGAGGAATGCGTGTTGATAGTACGTGAACCGGTGATATGGCCGTAAACCCGTAAGGAAGATGGAATGCGTGTTGATAGTACGTGAACCGGTGTTCCAATTTGGAAGGAAGAGGAATGCGTGTTGATAGTACGTGAACCGGTGTTCCAATTTGATATGGCCGTAAACCCATAAGGAAGAGGAATGCGTGTTGATATAGTACGTGAACCGGTGTTCCAATTTGATATGGCCGTAAACCCGTATGGAAGAAGAATGCGTGTTGATAGTACGTGAACCGGTGTTCCAATTTGATATGGCCGTAAACCTGTAAGGAAGAGGAATGCGTGTTGATATCCAATTTGATATGGCCGTAAACCCGTAAGGAAGAGGAATGCGTGTTGATAGTACGTGAACCGGTGTTCCAATTTGATATGGCTGTAAACCTGTAAGGAAGAGGAATGCGTGTTGATAGTACGTGAACCGGTGTTCCAATTTGATATGGCCGTAAACCCGTAAGGGAAGAGGAATGCGTGTTGATAGTACGTGAACCGGTGTTCAATTTGATATGGCCGTAAACCCGTAAGGAAGAGGAATGCGTGTTGATAGTACGTGAACCGGTGTTCCAATTTGATATGGCCGTAAACCTGTAAGGAAGAGGAATGCGTGTTGATAGTACGTGAACCGGTGTTCCAATTTGATATGGCCGTAAACCCGTAAGGAAGAGGATGCGTGTTGATAGCGTGTTCCAATTTGATATGGCTGTAAACCCGTAAGAAAGAGGAAGTGACGTACGTGAACCGGTGTTCCAATTTGATATGGCTGTAAACCCGTAAGGAAGAGGAATGCGTGTTGATAGTACGTGAAAAGGTGTTCCAATTTGATATGGCCGTAAACCCGTAAGGAAAGGAATGCGTGTTGATAGTAAGTGAAAAAGGTGTTCGTTGCTTTGATATGGCCGTAAACCTGTAAGGAAGAGGAATGCGTGTTGATAGTACGTGAACCTGTGTTCCAATTTGATATGGCCGTAAACCCGTAAGGAAAGAAGGAATGTACGTGAACCGGTGTTTCCAAATTTGATAGTAAACCCGTAAGGAAGAGGAATGCGTGTTGATAGTACGTGAACCGGTGTTCCAATTTTATATGGCCGTAAACCCGTAAGGAAGAGGAATGCGTGTTGATAGTACGTGAACCGGTGTTCCAATTTGATATGGCCGTAAACCTGTAAGGAAGAGGAATGCGTGTTGATAGTACGTGAACCGGTGTTCCAATTTGATATGGGAAAAGGAAGGAATGCGTGTTGATAGTACGTGAACCGGTGTTCCAATTTGATATGGCCGTAAACCCGTAAGGAAGAGGAATGCGTGTTTATAGTACGTGAACCGGTGTTCCAATTTGATATGGCCGTAAACCCGTAAGGAGGAGGAGGGCGTGTTGATAGTAAACCGGTGTTCCAATTTGATATGGCCGTAAACCCGTATGGAAGAAGAATGCGTGTTGATAGTACGTGAACCGGTGTTCCAATTTGATATGGCCGTAAACCCGTAAGAAAGAGGAATGCGTGTTTGTAGTACGTGAATCGGTGTTCCAATTTGATATGGCTGTAAACCCGTAAGGAAGAGGAATGCGTGATGATAGTACGTGAACCGGTGTTCCAATTTGATATGGCCGTAAACCCGTAAGGAGGAGGAATGCGTGTTGATAGTGAACCGGTGTTCCAATTTGATAGTAAGGAAGGAATGCGTGTTGATAGTACGTGAACCGGTGTTGATATATGGCCGTAAACCCGTAAGGAAGAGGAATGCGTGTTGATAGTATGAACCGGTGTTCCAATTTGATAGCCGTAAACCCGTAAGGAAGGAAGGTGTTGATAGTACGTGAACCGGTGTTATTTTATATGGCCGTAAACCCGTAAGGAAGAGGAATGCATGTTGATAGTACGTGAACCGGTGTTCCAATTTGATATCCGTAAGGAAGAGGAAATGAACCGGTGTTGATAGTGGAAGAGGAATGCGTTGATAGTTAATTTGATATGGCCGTAAACCCGTAAGGAAGAGGAATGCGTGTTGATAGTACGTGAACCGGTGTTCCAATTTGATATGGCCGTAAACCTGTAAGGAAGAGGAATGCGTGTTGATAGTACGTGAACCGGTGTTCCAATTTGATATGGCCGTAAACCCGTAAGGAAGAGGAATGCGTGTTGATAGTACGTGAACCGGTGTTCCAATTTGATATGGCCGTAAACCCGTAAGGAAGAGGAATGCGTGTTGATAGTACGTGAACCGGTGTTCCAATTTGATATGGCCGTAAACCTGTAAGGAGGAGGAATGCGTGTTGATAGTACGTGAAAAGGTGTTCCAATTTGATATGGCGGTAAACCCGTAAGAAGAAGGAAGGTTGATAATGAACCGGTGTTCCAATTTGATAGTAAACCCGTAAGGAAGAGGAATGCGAAAGGAAGGAGGAATGTAAACCGTGTTGATAGTACGTGAACCGGTGTTCCAATTTGATAGTAAACCCGTAAGGAAGAGGTGATAGTACCAAAGGTGTTGATGATATGGCCGTAAACCCGTAAGGAAAAGGAATGCGTGTTGATAGTACGTGAACCGGTGTTCCAATTTGATATGGCCGTAAACCGTAAGGAAGAGGAATGCCGTGATAGTACGTGAACCGGTGTTCCAATTTGATGGCCGTAAATAAGGAAGAGAATGCGTGTTGATAGTACGTGAACCGGTGTTCCAATTTGAAGAAAATGCGTGTTGAATAGTACGATGAACCGGTGTTCCAATTTGATATGGCCGTAAACCCGTAAGGAAGAGGAATGCGTGTTGATAGTACGTGAACCGGTGTTCCAATTTGATATGGCCGTAAACCCGTAAGGAAGAGGAATGCGTGTTGATAGTACGTGTTCCAAGTACGTTCCAATTTGATATGGTGTTCCAATTTGATATGGCCGTAAACCCGTAAGGAATTTGAATGCGTGTTTATAGTAAACGGTGTTCCAATTTGATATGGCCGTAAACCCGTAAGGAAGAGGAATGCGTGTTGATAGTACGTGAACCGGTGTTCCAATTTGATATGGCCGTAAACCCGTAAGGGAAAACCCGTAAGGTGTTCCAATTTGAAGCCGTAAAGGAATGCGTGTTGATAGTGAATGTGTTCCAATTTGATATACGTGTAAACGGTGAAGAAATTTTATATGGCCGTAAACCCAATTTGATATGGCCTGTGTAAACCCGTAAAGGAAGAGGAATGCGTGTTGATAGTACGTGAACCGGTGTTCCAATTTCATATGGCGGTAAACCCGTAAGGAAGAGGAATGCG